GGCGTTGAAGCGGGACATAATTTTTTCGCCCACTTTAAGGAAGGGCCCCAAAAGTTGCGACGTCAAGGCCCACTATTAGATCCATTGACCGTGATTCTTTAGTGGGCTCAATCGATGAGTGGAAATTTTAAGAGGTGGAAAAAAAGAATACCGGACCAAAACAACAACGGCTCCAGAGATAAATGAGGATCGAGACATCAAAATGTGAGAAATGTATGCCTATGTCTAATCTTTTAATTCTAATACTCGAACAATTAAGCATACTAAGCTACGGAAAAAAATGTCACTGATACAATGAATCCACGGTAGCAAGATACAGAGGATAACAATAGCTATGTATACATGCAGCGGGATATTCATCAGGCCAGCCCTAGTTCCGGTAAGTCCTGGACAGCAGAAAGCGCCGAAACGACGCTTCAGACCACCAACGCAAAAGATCCATCTCCCATTCACGAGCGAAAGCCATACCCGGAATCCCAAAAGAACCTGCGGTCAGATGCCTTTCCCCAGCTCCCCGTTTTAGTCGCCTTGATCGGTCTCGGTACCTCAAGCCTCGGTCTGTACTCCTCCGAAATCTCCACCGTCGTTGTCATATGTATACCTCCATCTTGGGCTGTACCTGGGAATTCCCTATCCCAACCCTCCAACCCCGGTCTCGAAGCCGAGTTGCCCTCCCATGACTGCCTGGTGACAATCCCCAGCTCGCTATCGGTGCTCCCAGACTTGAGGTACTCTTCAATCTCGCCCGTGGCGCTGATGGTCGTGGTCACGAAATCCGTATCGTGCAGCTGCTTACCGCCGGCAAAGCCACGATGACCTTGGGGACTTGCATGCGGCTTGGTGCCGCCCGCACTATACGAAAGTCCTTTCGGGGATGGCTTGTGATACGGGGTAAAGCCTTTGAGAGAGGGGAACCATTCGCGGAGGAGTGGCCAGATCATCGGGAGGTTGGAAACGTAGACGGCGACCGACGCTTCGCGGGTGTACCACAGCATGTACCTGGGCGAGAAGACGTCGGAGAGGTTGAAGACTTTGGTGAGGATCGCGGCGACGATGATGAAGGTGCCCATGGAGAAAATGAGGATGAGCACGGCCTTCTGCTTCAGGGGTATGGTGAGCTTAGTTACGAGAGGGAGGGGGATGAAGAGCATCAGGAAGTCGGAGGAGATGTTGAAGCAAGCTTGAACTATGGCGTAGTTTTGGAGTGTCGTGCATTGGTGATTCGGAGGGGGCATGGCCCAGTCTAGCATATGTATGTTAGCGATTGCTTTATTTGAGATCTTCCAGAATTTTTTTTTTAAAAATAGGAGAGGGGCGGGGGAGGGGTTGGAAGAGAAAGTATTGAATTACAGCCTTTGAATGGGGTGCACGCCGTGAAGAAGGCAATCTCGGTCGCGACCCAGCCTACAGCAACATAGACAGAGAGATAGACAACCATGCGCTGAACTTGTAACCCTAACGTAAGGCGCGTATACATGATGAGCATGCATGCTTTTATAACGTAAATCACATTAAGCATTGCCTGCATTGCGAGGGTCAACGGTTAGGGCATAAGGTAAATCAGAGTAGGCATACCTGTTCCGAGACGAGAACAATCTTGGATCCCTTGATCCTCTCCTCGATATTCTTCGCAGTAAAAGTGTCGAAGTCTCCTGGCTGGTAGAGGTTGCTTCCCCCTCCACCCGCAATGATGTTTAAGCATGCAATTAGTGCCGTGTATAAACCCTATAGCACCAGATCAGCGACTGCCAAATCTTCCGAAAAGAATGTCAGCCTGTACTCCAGCTAGTAGCATGAGATAGTCATCCGTCTGAAGCCTCTTGATGCCGAGTCTGTGTATCCTCGCGTATCTGATGTTGGTCAGCATTGCCAGCGTGAGCACGAGGGAGTAGACTCTATGCTAGTGAGACTCACATCCGTAGCAGTAGCAGGAACATCCCAACACCATATAGAACCCAGGATTGCGCTGCCAGCGCGTGCACAAACGCGGGATCTAAATCGCCCATGGCCGGCCAGCGGATTTGCGTTCTTCGGCACTAGTAACCGTCAAGTGACGTGCAACAACAAAGGAATTAGTTATCAGGAAGCTATTAACGCAACATCTGTAGAACATATCGGTCATAGGAAGACAGAAACTCCACGAGAAAAACGCCAGACAGCTCCACGTGCAGCATCGTCGCTCTTTTCCAGAAGAATTCAAGCCAGAGAAAGGAGCTGGGGGGGTTCTCTGAGACCCAGCCATTCGCAATCAGTTTCCCGGATGAGATGCGTTGTGTATTCCAAGTTTGAGATAAGAATGAAAATTCCTTTTTCTGCACTTCTTCGCGGCTAACTTAGCTTCACGAGGACATATGCCTCGTTGTGTATGACTTGTCAAAACTGAGGAGGGCGCACACGCCAAACGACTTTCGGTAGCAGGGGAGTCGCCGTAGATCATCTCTGATGTTCGAGGCCTTTGATGATAGTAGAACATGAGGGAGAGGGGGCTAGTAAGCGCGCATGCGTCTTGACGATTTACTTGCAGGATCTCTACTGTATTCAAATGGGAGCACGCACGCCTGGCCCCCTGAAATAGAAGGCCAATTGGGGCCCAATCGACACCTGCCAACCTGAAAGTGCATGTTTACAGTTCGATCCACAGTGAGATGGAAAAAGAAATAAGGGGGAAAGGTAGCCGTACAGGATCGGGTGGGACCTGCAGAAAATAAGTAAATAATCTGCCGAGATCTACAGTCAGATCGACAGCTAAACACCGAGCTCCAGATCAGTGCACTTTTGACGACATATATCGGCGCTTACTTATCCTCTTTCGTAGTCCTGCTATTTCTCCCCATCGGGGTCGAACGTCGAAAGTAAGTGATTCTATCATGCATTCCGAATCAGACATCACGACATGACCAAAACTTGACCTCCGCTCGTCGAAACCCTGGAAAGGTCTATGCTATAATGGTTATCATGTAAGCATATAAGCATGTATACATGAAAAGAAGAAAGACGAAAGGAAAAGCATACTCTCGATTTCTCCACAAAAAATAACCAAAAAAACAAAAGGCAATGTTCAGACAACAGGAAAGATCTGCTTGGCAGGCTTGGCGAGAAAATAGCTCGTGGCGGCGACCAGTCACATTGACCAAGAAAGGGAAAAAAAGGAAAGAAAAGAAGAATGGGGGAAAAATCGGATAACCCCCACGCAACAACCAATCCTCAACTCTCGGAGTTTGAATGGATATTCCTACTAGCAGTAGCAGAATACCAAATCAAATCAAACCAAAATCGCTACCGCCGCTTCTCCTGTCCGAGGTGTATATATATCTTCATAATTTTAATGAGTACAGATCCCTTTTTGTCTTGTTTACTTCTTCTTCTTCTTCTTCTTCTTCTTCTTCTTCTTTGCTTTGCTCAGCAGAAACAGCGAGATAAAGTGGGACGGGGCCAATGAGTGGAAGATTATTCTTGGGATAAAAGTTGTGTTTTCATTCTGGGAGACAGAAGTGAGCTCACGTAATGTATGGTATTCTATATCGTACGCAACTTCCAAGCAAGCAAGGAAGCAAGCAAGCCACTCTAACCGCCAGCTGCAAGCAAGCAACAATAACGACACACCAAAGCCCCCACCACGACCACGACCACTACCACACTACTTAACAGCCTTCAGAATCGCCTCTCCAACCCCACTCGCACTCGCCGGGTTCTGGCCCGTGATGATCTTCCCGCTGACCACCACGTTCGGCGCCCAGTCGCCGTCGGCCTTCCGGTACTTGCCGCCGCTGGCGACCTTGAGCTGGTCCTCGAGGATGAACGGCATTGCCTGCGTCAGGCCGACGGCGTCTTCCTCCGAGGTGGAGAAGCCCGTGACGGCATGGTCCTTGAGCAGGTAGTCACCGGCGGGCGTCCTGACGTGAGCGAGGGCGGCGGGGCCGTGGCAGACTGCAGAGACGATCTTGCCGGCCGAGGCGAACCTGGTGATTGGGTGAGTCAGCGAACGTTCGTTTTGTTTTGTTTTCGTTTGGGAGTCTGTTTTCCTTTTTCCTTTTTTTTTTTCTTCCTTTTTTTTTGTTGGATTGGCTCGGGAATGCATAGAGTCCTCGTAATAAAGAGAGACACTGGAAAAGAGACTTCGCAAACAAGTAGAGAGGGCTACTGTAGCCCGATTGTCCTTACTCGTTGATGATCTGGTGGGAAGTGGCGTCCTGAGAGAGATCCCACATTGCTGTCTCATAACAACATTAGCTCTCGGCTATCGCAATCGATACGTCTGATATGCCGCTTCCCCTAAGGATATGAATCGAGGAAGGGGGAAAACATACGTCCATGCCCTCCCACAAAGAAGATGGCATCGAACTCCGCCGCCTTGCCCACAAAGCTCGACAGTTTCTCAGTGTTAGTCCATACTTTGTCACCGAAATACAGTCAGCATTATTATTCCAAGCCAAGCCCAAGATCAAGGAGCTCAAGATCTGTATCCAAAAGATGCAAGATTCGGGAGCTTATCTTCTGATAAGGACTTCCCCAGGAGTGTGAAGGGAATGGAGAGGGGCAAGGAGGAAGAGGA